AAAACAAATTCATGATTGTTTTGCTTTTACGTAAAACAATTAAACAGCTCAAAAGTGACTACAATTTCTTTTACCTCCCCGGAAATGGTTTCGAAAAAAAATGTCAGAATGAACCGAAAAGTGTCAATTTTTTTGTGACACGTGGCAAGGAGGCAGTCCTCGTAGAAACTATAAAAAATCATTCTTAGACTAAAGAAAGTATCACATGGGAGCTCTTCGAAGAAATGGGTCCGGATAACGGAAAAATACCGATATTTTCGCTAAGAATTTCTACGAGTCAATATCTAATTATACAGAAATTTCCTTAAATTCACTTCTGTCCCTTCCACTCTGCAAAAACCATACTTCTGCCTCTGAAAGCAGAAAAGTGGTTTCTGGGGAAGGACAGACCCATGAGCTTCATCCGGCACGGCATTTTCACTGAAACTTTAGGCTCTCAAACTGCAAAAACCACAAAACTCAAAAACCACATATCTGGCTCTAAAAGCAGAAAGACAGGGAGCTTGGTCTCGATGGAAGAAAGAATTATGGCCTCAGGCAGCAAGAGACTTTCGCCAGAAGTTTCTGGGTGTCAATGATTATACAGAACTTGCTTGAAATTTACTTCTGGCCCTTTTGGTCTCGAGGAGAAAACACTAATAAGCTCAGCCAGCAAGATACTCTCGCTGAAACTTTCTGGGTGTCAACGTTTATTCATAGTGAAACTTGCTTCAAAAATTTACTTCTGGCCCTTCTACTTTGCAAAAAAAACCATACTTCTGCCTCTAAAAGTAAAAAATCACGAAGTGTTCTCGAGGGAAGGACAGACCCATGAGCTTCATCCAACAGGACAGTCTCGCTAAGACGTTTGACCCCCTAGACTTCGCAAAAACCAGTACTTCTGCCCCTAAACGCAGAAAAGCACAGAAAATCCAGTCTCGGGGGAAGAAAGAATCATGGCTTCAGGCAACGGTATTCTCGCCAGAAGTTTATGGGTGTCAATAATCATACAGAAACTTGCTTAAAATTTACTTCTGGCCATTCTACTTTGCAAAAACCACACTTCTTCCTCTAAAAGCAAAACAGTACGGAAAGCTTGGTCTCGAGAAAATGGCAGAACCATGAGGCTTCATGCGACAAACATTTTCGCTGGGTCGTCTGACCTCCTAGACTTCGCAAAAACCAGTGCTTCTGCCCCTAAAAGCAGAAAAGCACAGGGAATTTAGTCTCTAAGGAAGGACAGACCCATGAGCTTCTTGCAACAGGACATTTTCACAGAAACTTTCGGCCCCTTCTACTTCGCAAAAACCAGTACTTCTGCCCTGAAAGCAGAAAAGCACAGAGATTTAGTCTCTAGAGAGAGACAGACCCATGAGTTTCATCCGACAGGACATTTTCTAAGACTTTTGACTCCCAAACTTTTCTAAGACTTTTGACTCCCAAACTTCGCAAAAAACCATAAAACTCAAAAACCACACTTCTGGCCCAAAAACAAAAAAGCACAAGGAGCTTGGTCTCGAGGGAAGTAAGGATTATGGCCTCAGGCAACAAGATGTTTTCGCCAGAAGTTTCTGGTTGTCGATGTTTCATTATACAGAAACTTGTTTGAAACTCGTAGCCATTCTACTCTGCAAAATCCATACTTCTACCTCTAAAAGCAAAACAGCACAGATAGCTTGGTTTCGAGGAAAAGAGACTCATAAGCTCACAGCAAGATATTTTCGCTGAAAACTTCTGGGTGTCAATGTGTATTCTACAGAAACTTGTTTAAAATTCACTTGTGGCCATTCCACTCTGCAAAAACCAGACTTCTGCCTCTGAAAACAGAAGAGTGGTCTCGAGGGAAAGACAGACCGGGAGACGGTCAAGAGGCGCGATTTTTCTGGCTGTCACCAACTTAAAACTTCAGTTTCTCGCTATGGGACTGTTCAAAAAGTGTCGGACAAAGTCCATCGGCTTACTAGCTGTTTGAAGTAACCATTTGATAAGTTCGACGACTTTTGCTAGAAAACTGACCGAAATAGTTACAAAATTGCTATAAACTGCATTTTCATGGGTTTTTGACCTTCAACAATTTTGTTTTGAATCGCTTTCAAAATGATAAGATCGAAGAATTCCTGCAATTCTCTAATGTACTTCTTTTGAAATTTCAAATAATCCTGGAACTTCATAAAACACTAAGTATGTGCTATATACTGCCCATCTGGTAATAAGAATCGCGCCTCTTGACATACATCCAAACAGACCCATGAGCTTCTTGCGACAGGAAATCATCTTTGCTGAAAATTCTGGCCTTCTGAACTTTGCAAAAACCACACTTTTGTCCCTAGAAGCAAAAAACAGGGAGCTTGGTCTCGAGGGAAGAAAAGACTCAGGGCTCAGGCAGCAAGATATTTGCGCTAAAAGTTTTTAAGTGTCAATATTTGATTATACAGAAACTTGCTGGAAAAATTACCCTTCTTCTCAACCATACTTCTGCTAAAAGCAGAAGCATAAGGAGCTTGGTTTCGAGGGAAGGAAAGAACTAGGGTTTTATACGACAGGACAGTTTCGGTAAGATTGTCCTTCAAAAGAAAACGCTGGGCCAGCTTCTGTTCAAGAAATGAGCCCGTTTACTGGCAAGACATCATCGAAGAAAATGCTGCCTCGTTTTTACCGACATATCTGAGTTTTTGGCTGCTGGAAGACATAAATTGACGCTTCCTTTAACATGGCACTTTCCTGGAAATCAATCTGAGTTTTGGGATGAATCAGCTGCTCTAAACAGGTGCTTCGAGGTAGCTTCCTTGTTTAAGAGCTGTGGTATCTGGGCAAAGGTATGTGCAAGAAAACAGCAAAGATGCTTTGCGCATAGTCAGTGGTAGTAGCTTCTTTTCCTAAGAGAAGCTTCTTTTCCTTCTTTTCTTCTTTTCCTCTTATTAAGAGCATAGTGTTTTGTTTCTACTACTCACAACATGCGGAAGGTCGCTGGGAAGATAAAAATTCTCTTTCTTGGGATTTTAGTTAATTAATGGCAGATATCAATGTATTTGCCCCCACCCACCTACTAGCGACCCGTAGGGTCGCTAGTCTTATATATAAAGCTGAATGTCTGTTTGTCTGTATGTCTGTCTGTCTGTATGTCTGTCTGTATGTCTGTACGTATGTTCCGAATAGAAAATTCCATTTCTGAACCGATCCGGACCAAACTTGGCACACATACACTTCGGGCCCCGGCGGGTGTCATAGGCTACTTTTCGTCATCGATCGATATCGATTTTATCGATTTTTATCGATTTTTTTGCTGAGTTCACCTACGGGGCTGGGAGTTGGCACAGGGGGGTAATCGAGCATGGGGATTCCGAATACAATATTGGTTTTCAGGATTATCGATTACTTTTATCGATTTTATCGATTTTTTTTGCAAAGTTTGAGCTACGGGGCTGGGAGTTCGCACAGGGGGATAATCGAGCATGCAGATTACGAATACAATATTGGTTTTCGGGATTATCGATTACTTTTATCGATCTTATCGATTTTTTGAAAATTTGAGCTAGGGGGCTGGGAGTTGGCACAGGGGGGTAATCGAGCATGCTGATCATCCCCAAGGGGGGTGATCAACATGCTCGATTACCCCCCTGTGCCAACTCCCAGCCCCCTAGCTCAAACTTTGCAAAAAAAATCGATAAATTCGATAAAAGTAATGGACGATCCTGAAAACTAATATTGTGTTCGTAATCAGCATTCTCGATTACCCCCCTGTGCAAAATCCCAGCCTCGCATGTCAAAATTTACAAAAAATCGATAAAATCAATAAAAGTAATCGATAATTCTGAAAACTAATATTGTTTTCGGAATCCCCATGCTCACTTCCCCCCTGTGCCAACTCCTAGCCCTGTAGGTGAACTCTGCAAAAAAATCGATAAAAATCGGTAAAATCGACATCGATCGATAACGAAAAGTGGACTGTGACACCCGCCGGGGCCCGAAGTGTATGTGTGCCAAGTTTGGTCCGGATACGGCGGAGCCGGGTAAGCCAGCTAGTTACCTATATGGGCTAATGCCACGCACCTTCATCTGAAATTTTTTTTAAAAACGCCCCCCCCCCCCGGTCAATCCTACGACCGCCACTGTTTGATACTGATACTTAGCATCCATGTGAAGAATTCGCAACTCTTTACCGAAGCTACAAAATCAAAAAAAAAAACTTGATAAAGAATGAGAAACACCACATATGAAACGGGACTCGTTCATTGAAAAGTCATTATCAAAGCTTAATATACCGAAAAGAAATGCTCAGCAGAATAGGTTGACTCATCTGCACGACTTACTGCCGTGTATTAACATCCCCGCTGGGAAGGGGTTCGAGCTTAGAACGTGAAATCCAGTAGTTTGAAGCTTCATAATCTGAAGCTTCGAACTTCTAGATTTCACGCTGTCTACCCACCGGTAGGTATTCCTACCATCCACTATAAACATATCGAACAGGAGCGAGAAGCTGTTTATACTGTTCATCTAGCCCAACAGTGCTAGGCACGCTGCTGATAAGAACAGATGAGTTTTTGAAAAATTGAATTTTTCGATAAACTCCAACAACTTGTGGTTGTTGGGATTTATCGAAGTCTTCGACTTGTGGCTCATCGCGAAATTCATGACGTCAGTACATCATTTGTTCTTATCAGCAACGTGCTTAGCACTGTTGGGCTAATGAACAGTATAACTTTGGAATGTTTTCGCTAACTTTGAAGAAAGAAAAACAACTTTGAAAAAGAGACGGTCGACCGCCAGGGATCATCAGGGGATCATACAAAATGCGGCTTGTATAGCTTCTCGCTCCTGTTCGATATGTTCATAGTGAAGGATGGTAGGAATACCTACGGGTAGGTAGACAGCGTGAAATTCAGAAGTTCGGAGTTTCAGATTATGAAGCTTTCTTCCTAAGCTGCGATCCCCTTCCCGACGGGAATGTTAATGCATGCGGCCCTTAGTGCTGAGGATAAAACTTTAGAAAACCCGCAATGAAAGTGGCAACTGGAACTCACGGTGGAATTTTCCCGTATTGCAATTCAAATACATCTCACAGAGTCCGTCATGCTCACTACAGCCAATCGTGTGGACATGCTTTGAAACATTGAATGCTATCTCCTGAAATCTCATCATATTACTGCACGACATGGAATCAGATAAGGCGCGTACCTCATATATCTTTTTACCCGTTAAACGAGAAAGATCACGGAATTCAAGCTGCAAAGACGTCACTTCTGACAAGGAAGCCTGGTTACTCCACTGAGGTGGTTTCGCTTTTCTAAGGTGTATAAAATAGCTTTAATGGTTGTGCCTGAGCAGGATTACCTCAGCATCAGGTTTACATCGCTCAAAGGCACACGTGATTTAGAGCTTGTAAAAGCAACTAACAGTCTATCTGCGAGATCGTCTGCTTTCGCAACAAACATCTGAAATGAAATAGGTTCTTGAAAAAGGAGATCATGTGGTGGAGTTGCGAACCTTGTCTCCAGTTAGATGATATGCGCTTAACAGCCCACCCAAGGTTCTGATTGTGGTTTCAAAAAGGCTGACGTAATTGTCCTTTTCGAAGGTGAGAGTATCTCGAATCCAAGCAGTGGCTTGATTAGCTTCTGGAAGTGGTCGTATGATTATCATCTGGATGTCAGCAAAAAAGGACCCCAGTACTTTGATTGAAGCCACGCGGAAAGAAAATTTGTTTAAGTTTATTTATTATTTCAGTACTTTCAGAATTGAAGTTTTACTTTGCCAGCGCAAACGTTGGAACATTTTGATACTAGAGGATGAGCACATCTTTTGTGGGCTTCCAATGTAGTCATTAGTACATTGTTTTGATGGAATTCTCGGGATCTGATCCGCTAGACCGTAAAAAAGTCAGATTAAAATTGGTACCGAGCACCATGTGCTTCCAAATCTTAAGAGGTACAGATGTAACGTAGCAGAAAACTCGAAAGATAAGAGATGAGAAAGTAAAAAATTATAAGAAATTTGCTGACCTTCCTGGAGCCCCATGATGATGGCAGTGTCCAATGCATCAACTATAGTCAAACCAGTATTGAACCAATCCGAATACGATTCACTGACTGGTTTCAACTGATCATGTCCCCAGGCATACTTACGATAACCCTGCCATGCATGTTGAAAAGCTGCAGTAACAGCTTTTTGACGTTCGTTCGAAGGGCCTAAAGTCATGGTATTTACTACAAGTGTCAAAAATACAATTAGCAGACCTGAGAAAACCATAGCAGACTTGTTGGTAAGCGTTGTAAGCGGAGGTGGTCGCCTTTCGGTGGACAGAGGTTGATTGGCTATCTGCAAGCAACGGTATATATGTATGAGAACATCGAAAACTCCCACTGCCCTCATGTATGCCCCTCTAATCTTCTAAGTTACACCGCACCGCTTTCGCGAAAAGTGAACACTGACTATCTTACTCATCAAAATCATTCGAGAACGGTTGAAGTATAACAGTGACGCAGCTACCATCACAAAGCTTCCTTACACATAACCAGGTCCATAAATTTCACCATATTTGCCCAAAATCGGATGAACGCCACCCATTAATCAAACAAATATTCAAAATTAGCCCTAACTGTCTACCTGCAAGCATTGTGATAAATGGTAAAGACTTTCAGAATGAATAGGCAAGCACCTTGATGATTCCCAGTCTCAAGTTCACTGTTGGCGGACACATATGTATAGAAAAAAGTATTTTCTCGGCAAAAAAGTATCCATGATTTGAGTTATATCCGATTCGACTCAAATAGAAAACAAAAAGTCCAGGAATGAGGAACCAAGAAGGACTTACGTCTTCAATCGTTTTCAGCATGTCCATCGAAGCTTCGTCAGCCATTTGAATGAAGGGAGAAGCGATATAAAATGTGAAAATGCATGTTAATGCTAGCAGGCAGAGAATAATCGCAGTCCTCTTCATCCGTGGAAACGACCGCCACAACTGAAACAACCAAGCGAAACACTTGCGTCACTTCGCCCCTCTCTCCAAGCAAAAAAGTTCGAAGACAAATGAAGTGCATGTTGAGAAAAGAAGAATCGTGAAAGAAACATGAGCGTACCCGATAGATTCTCAGTCCTGGGGATTTAGGCTCGGTCGTGAAGAAGGGCAAGCCCTCCGAGGAGCGGCGAAGTTGATGCCACCGCATACTCACGTGCCCGCCACTATATGGCCAAGGCGTAGTAGGGTAAAAAACCTGTAAAAGCATCTCTGAGAAAGACAATCAATCACAGCAGTCAAATTTACGGTGCTATAAAAAATGATAATGTGAACGCCATCAAAAAAAAACTGGGCAACCTTCACCAGACTGCCTTTGCAACAAAATATCGGTCATCGTACTGCAAGTAAGAATGCTAAGAAAATGCCAGAATGTTCGAGCCGATATGCGACCATATGCCCTACATAATACATAAAGAGCAATTTTTGGCTTTCATGAAGCCGTTCACAACAGCTAAAAAAACACATGAAGTCATACGTGGATTTACTCCTAATTTTGGTTGCTTATAAGAAGATAGGCGGTGGTCGGTTCTCAGCTTCAGATTTTCTTCTAAAACTCATTTCCCACCAATTTATTTTGCAAGCGTTGCCGATTCTTGTGGGACACAATCATATGTTGAACTGTTGAACAGCTGCTTCGAAAATGGAAATTTCTGTTTACATTTTTCATGCAATGACTGTTATTCGCTCCTCACAATGAGTACAAGCATATGGTAAGTTACCACCAAATATTTTTCTTAGACTGAACTATTTGAACCAAAGTGTATCCAATAATGAATTTCTTGCAGCGCATGCCAAGGAAGTTTTCAGCAGCCTACAAAAAGTTGTCGACAACTGTTCAGCAAGCAAGACGTATACTTGCAAAAGTATTGAACCTTCAGATATGAGAAGCGATCGTGGAAATTGATAAATGACTTTAGCAAATCGCTCATCATATCGCTGTTTATGCTCGCCTTAGAAAGATCTGCGGGGTAATTTCATGATTTCTCCAAATGCTGATGAGTCCTATCGTCAAGAATTTGACAGTTTGCTTTCGGATCGTATTGCGCAGGAGTGGCAAGGCATCGACGAATATCTGCAGCTGAGGCATTATTGTGATTTCGAGAACATAAGTCTTAAAAACCAGCAGCTGCCTCCAGATTATGAGCCATTCCTTCTTCACGAAGATCACCCCACACTATAATATGAGGAGGCGCAACTGCTAACGCTCTAAGGCAATTGAATTTCTAGTCAGAAAGCGAGGTTTAGCTTCCTGACTAGAAATTCTATGCCGAGCGAGACGTGACTAATGCTATCGAAACAGAGCTGCAGGAACGGCCGGAAAAAATATTCTTCAAGCCACGATAACATCGCTGGAGCCATTTATTGTTTCCTTAAAGGCCATATGCATAGAATCTTTTTTTTTATGTGGAAAAATGCAATAACCCAATTTTCCATAAAAGTGGAGCCATAGGGCATGTTATGGTGTGTAAAGCTCATGCAATCAGTTCACAATTATCAGATTGATGGTTCTGCTATTACGATAGCCTTGACATCACCGAGTGCCTCTCGACGTATATTACTGCATAGCACTCGGAGCATGCATCCTCATTAATCTTCACCAAAAAAGTGGGCGCGCTTTCCAGCTGCACAACTTTACCTTTCGGAGTTTGACAAAACGTGCATGCCAAGCATAAGTTCGCCATAACGTTGCACGGGGAACCAACTGAATCATTGTCAGCTCCAAACCTCAATTCTATGAACTTCGGAGATTTTCAAAAGCTCAATAAGAGGCTTTGGTTGCAACAACAAAGACATGAGACTCCAAAAAAAAAACAGACAATTTATGGAACGGATTGGCTTGAAAAGCCTAGATAAAGCAAAAGATACTTCTATGGGACAGCAGGTTTGAGTCTAGAAACGGTGAATTCGAGAGAGCACTTAAGACGAAGACAGGGGAACCAAAAAATACCTCTGCCCCCAAACCTTCGGTCAACACCATTTTGGAATATTCAATATTGACCTGCGTAAATGAGCTAATCGACCAGTAAGTAAGATGACGTCATCTTCGAAGAGTGTGTGTAGACATAATGTAGAGAAGGCAACGAAATGTGCATGTCAACCACGTATTTGCCTAACAAACTATTCGCCAAATAGAATTTCCTAAAATTATTATTTCCTGAACATGGGAAAAGACCATACATCTGTATTCTCGTTTCGCGCTATAAAAACATGGCAATGCTATTGATGACTTTGTGAAGAGACAGAAATACATAGCTCAGAGACAAATACTGCGTTACAGCACTAGTGTGAGATACGCTGAGTTAAAACTACGAGAATCACTTACGACGTAAAGATGGTAAGCGCATTCTAGCGCTGCCAATCGATCGCCATCAAAAGGGCAGCTTGACAGCAATGATAATTGCTGTTAGCTAAGCATAACTTCCAGAAAAAATAGTCCATAAAAAATCAGGAAGTGAGGAAAGAGAAGAAGCTGTTTAACACTCATCGTTTATTAGTACCAATGCGGAACGAAATTTAGGCAGAACAAATGGCACATTTTTACAGCCATCACCATGATAAGCTTCATAAAAACTTTAATGAATTATTTGAGTGCTGCGGTTTGCCGCCATCGTTATCGGCAAATAGGCATTAACTACTTCGTAATTGAGGTTTTTGCGGTATGAACTAGATGGCAATCTCAAACTGATTTTGATGTCGCATCATGGTTGGCATCAGACAATGCATAGCCGATAAAACCTGGAATGTAAGACTCAAACAAAAAGATTTCGACTGAAAGTGGGAGAAGGATTAAAAATCGCAAGAGTCTGTCAATAGATATATTGGTCAGCTGCCGGATTCGGTTCGATTCAACGTTTACCGCCAAGAATTTTAGACATTATCAACCAGATGTCTGCTATACCCTTTGCTTCCGTTCGGCATAGTCTAATGAGTCTTTACTCTCTGTCTTACTCTTGATACCGCATTTAATTTTTTTTAACCAGTAAGTAAAACGACTAATGCATATTATTCTCTACTTCTTGGGGTCTAAAAGTAATTTCAGATCAAAGCCAATTAGACGACTGCATCGCCCGATAAGCTCCTGAAGGTTTCTGTGACTATTTTCGGCACTCGTTCATCATATCAATGCTAATTCAGAGACAACAGGATGATCATGACAGCGATGGAAAAGAAGTAAAACAGCATAAGTTAACAAATATTGCGGAATTTAGGTGAGAAAACGATATGAAACCGAGAGTTTGATATGAAACAAAGCTCTCCATTTGTCGTGGATACACAATACGTCGCCAATGAAGCGTGGTAAACACATGTTTGGGAAGACAAAAAAAAACAGCCCTTTCAGTTATTTCAAAAAAGGTAAGCAGCAAGATATCACAAAATAAAGGATAGTTCGGAGCAAAGTTCTCAAATTACACATTGCCATGTTCGCATTAAAGAAAAACTGCATGAAAGTAGTGCGCCAAGTCGTTACTCGAGACCTACACTAATGTTTTATGAGACACAAGAAGGGATAAGGACAGTCTAAAGGTACTTTCATGCCATGTAATGCAGAAGATGTTCTTGCCATGAAATAAGTAATAAGAAAACAGAGCACAACTATAATACATCGAAGAATGCGATGAGATTTCACTATTATCTCGAAGCCACCCGAGAAACGAGGCATGCTCAAGTACTACTTTTCCATTTCAAAAGAGAAAGTGGCAATCTCCATTTTGGAATGCAAAAGAATTCATTCGTACTTCAGCAGACAACGCATTCAAAAAGTTGGCACATTCTAAGTCCGTAACACTCCGTATTTGTAAGCGTTCAGACCTCACTGAAAATCTACAATGATTTGTCTACCAAAATCAAGTAGATATACATTTTTGGAATAAGCCACAGTTGCACGTACCTCCGGCCAGCTAATTGTGCTGGAAGACAATCACTAACCTTGAAATATCAAAAGTACAATGCAGAAGGCGAATTTCTGGACTATGGAACAACATATATCACCAGAATTTGTGAAGGGTGGAGATCCGGCAACAATGGCGAAATCTGACTTTCCCAATCTTTCACAGCGCGCAGCATAAAGAAGCCGATCCGCATCCAAACTAAGTCCAATGCCTCTAGGGGCATAGTTGCCCGTGATCCGGATCGCATCCCTTACGGGCAACTATAGCACCACCCTCAAGAGGGCTATATGGCTATATCAACCACCATTTTCGTTTGATATTTCAATTAATCAGTGTGTAGGCGGCACGTAGGGCAACTCGATCGGGCAGGGGAACAGATTTTTGTACGTTTGGGCAGTTCTCAGAATTGAAAGTCTAAAGGTAACATGTATGGCAATTTGAGAATGCGCTGTAAATACTTGAATTCGTTTTCTTTCTGTAAAGTCGTAAGGTTGGTTTTTCTTATATATACGGTCTTCAAGCGGCACATAGTGCATACACTTTTTTTCTGAAAAGTTACTATCGGTCTGTAAGCGGCACGTAGGGCAACTCGATCGGGCAGGGAAACAGATCTTTGTACGTTTGGGCAGTTCTTATAATTTTTGAACGGTCTTCAAGCGGCACGTAGGGCATGAACTGTATTTCAGATAGATGATATCTTATATATAAAGCTGAATGTCTGTTTGTATGTCTGTCTGTATGTATGTATGTATGTATGTATGTATGTACGTATGTTCCGAATAGAAAATTCCATTTCTGAACCGATCCGGACCAAACTTGGCACACATACACTACGGGCCCCGGCGGGTGTCATAGGCTACTTTTCGTCATCGATCGATATCGATTTTATCGATTTTTATCGATTTTTTTGCTGAGTTCACCTACGGGACTGGGAGTTGGCACAGGGGGGTAATCGAGCATGGGGATTCCGAATACAATATTAATTTTCAGGATTATCGATTACTTTTATCGATTTTATCGATTTTTTTGCAAAGTTTGAGCTACGGGGCTGGGAGTTGGCACAGGGGGGTAATCGAGCATGGGGATTCCGAATACAATATTGGTTTTCAGGATTATCGATTACTTTTATCGATTTTATCGATTTTTTTGCAAAGTTTGAGCTACGGGGCTGGGAGTTCGCACAGGGGGGTAATCGAGCATGGGGATTCCGAATACAATATTGGTTTTCGGGATTATCGATTACTTTCATCGATTTTATCGATTTTTTTGCAAAGTTTGAGCTAGGGGGCTGGGAGTTGGCACAGGGGGGTAATCGAGCATGCTGATCATCCCCAAGGGGGTGATCAGCATGCTCGATTACACCCCTGTGCCAAATTCCATCCCCCTAGCTCAAATTTTGCAAAATCGATAAAATCGATAAAAGTAATGGATAATTCCAAAAACTAATATTGTATTCGTAATCTGCATGCTCGATTACCCCCCTGTGCAAACTCCCAGCCCCGCAGGTCAAACTTTACAAAAAAATCGATAAAATCGATAAAAGTAATGGACGATCCTGAAAACTAATATTGTGTTCGTAATCAGCATGCTCGATTACCCCCTGTGCAAAATCCCAGCCTCGCATGTCAAAATTTACAAAAAATCGATAAAATCAATAAAAGTAACCGATAATTCTGAAAACTAATATTGTATTCGGAATCCCCATGCTCACTTCCCCCCTGTGCCAACTCCTAGCCCTGTAGGTGAACTCTGCGAAAAAATCGATAAAAATCGGTAAAATCGACATCGATCGATAACGAAAAGTGGACTGTGACACGCGCCGGGGCCCGAAGTGTATGTGTGCCAAGTTTGGTCCGGATACGGCGGAGCCGGGTAAGCCAGCTAGTTGGTTTATAAGCGGCACGTGGGGCAATTCAATCGGACAGGGAAACAAATTTTTTGTACGTTTGTGCAGTTCTTATGATTGATGGTCTTCAGGTGCTTCAGTAGTCGTGCTTTCCGGGGAGGAATCTCCTTTTGTAGTGAAGCTTCATATTCCTTTGGCGAAAAATTGAAGGATTCTTTGACAAAGTTCTTATTGTTATACGATTGATTTCGTTGCTGTCGGAATTGATTTCGCAAAAATGTTCAAAGGAATAGGAGAAACTTACTTAGAAATATGTATAGTCACAACTGAGCCCTTATATTGTATCTGCCACCCACTTGCTAGCGACCCGTAGGGTCGTTAGTATGAGTGCAAATGACAAAATTTACTTCTCTCTATATGGCTGGGATTACCGCAAAACACGGACTCTTCTTTTACAGCTGCAAGCTCACGAATATTGCCCCTTCTGCTGCATCTACATTGCTGACTTCCTCTCCAACTAGAGACTGCACTTAGAAGGGATTCATTGCTAGCACCAAAAAAAATTGCTAGCGTTCGCGTCGCCTAGGAAAAATTCTTGGAATTGATGTGGTTAATCCAATCTTCCCCCTTTTCGTATTTCGAAGTTTCGCGATTCGATTACCGAGCATACTGGTTATTGAACAATCTCAAATCTAGCTACTGCATCATTACTGCAGTTTTGAGCGCTCTGGCGCCTTGTACGAACAATGGTCATTTTGTAAGTTCAAATTTCTTTTGTGCCGTACAGGTTTGAGAAGTGGTCTTTATTTATTCCAATCACGGCCTTACGTTTCGACGCCTTTCGTCTTCCTCAGAGGCCGGAAGACCACTGCGACTCGAGTAGTCTGCACCGGAAATAGGCAGTCGCGGCAGACGAGTCATCTTATATATAAAGCTGAATGTCTGTCTGTATGTATGTCTGTATGTCTGTCTGTACGTATGTGCGGAATAGAAATTTTTATTTCTGAACCGATCGGGACCAAACTTGGCACACATATACTTCGGGTTGGACCAAACTTGGTACACATATACTTCGGGGCAGGGAGCGTGTCATAGGCTATTCTTCGTTATCGATCGATATCGATTTTATCGATTTTTTGCAAAATTTGAGCTACAGGGCTGGGAGTTGGCACAGGGGGGTAATCGAGCATGCTGATTACAAATATATTATTGACAGGCCCGGGCGGAGCCGGGTAGGCCCACTAGTTTTTTATAATGGTCATTCTTTTACTGAAGATATTCTAGGCTGTGTCG